TGTGGCCCTTAAAAAAAACAAAAAAAAAAAAAAAAAGATTATTTTACACAGTTCTGGAGGCTAGGAAGTCCAAGGGCATGGTGCCAGCATCTGCTCAGGTTCCAGTGACAGTAATGTATTGTATCATAACATGACAGATGGAAAGCAAGTGTGTGTCAGAGAGCAAGAGAAAGACACTTTCACCATAGGCCACTAATCCACTAATGCATGAATGGCTTAATCCATTCATAAGGGCAGGACCCTCTGACCTAATCATCTCTTATTCAGCCCACCTCTTACACTGTTACAATGGGGATTAAGTTTTGGGTTTTTTTTTTTTCCCTTTTTTTTTTTTTTTTGAGAGAGGTTTTCACTATAGGGCGCATGCGCTCGCCAGACAGAGAGAGACATAGAGACAGAAAGCAAGAAATCACCCCCCAGGGGGGATGGTCACGCCGCAATCCCTTCTCCTCCATGCTCCTCTCGGGATCTTGGGCACGCATGCACACGTGCCCGGCGTGAGTTTTAAGCCACCGGGTCCGGGACGTGAACCACGGTCGACTATGTGGGAGTCCAGCGACATAGCCATTACGCTAATTGCTGGTTCCCAGGGATTAAGTTTTAACATGAGTTTAGGAGGGGACAAATATTCAAACCATAGCAAATAAAAGGTGATTGTGCTTAAAGAGTTTTTCCCACTTAGAATTACATAGTATAATTTACATATGAAATGATACAAGGAACCACCAGGGGCTTAAAACAAATGTATCCAAAATATGTTTTTAATTCTTGATGAAGTTCACAAATGGCACAATATTGACATTTCCTTAAGCAAATTATACAATCATTTTCTCAGACAAGGCACAGCATCACCGTTATCATGTGTTCCCCGGAGGCCACGAGAGGCAGTGATTCATGGCCCCTTACGGTTTGGCAGAGCTGCTGTGGTCAAGGTGGCTCTTGAAGAACCAGTTTGCTGCTAGATAAGCCAATGAGAGGTGCCATTGCGTTTACTGGACATAGAATCAGACATAAAACAATGCACGGCAATACGGAATTAGCGTAGATTGCATTTGTTTCATTCCTCTCCAGTGTCAGTGGTGCTTTCTGCAGTATGTTAGGATGCAAACATGTGTGTGTGTCTTCCATGGGGCCTTCTCACCAGGTGGTGATCAACAGAAATTAACAGAGGCGGTGAGTTCAGCTTTGTGGTAACCTGAGATTGGAAAAAAAGAAGGGGAAAAAGAAGATGAGAAGGAGGAAGAGAAAGTAAGAAAGAAGGAGAAAAAAGAAGTGAATAACCACACTTATTACTGAAAAGAACACTAATTTACAGAAGTGCTTCTTTAAATAGCATTTATGAATTATGGATATGAGATGTAAACAGTTCATAAGGCAAATAAAGATAAAATAGCATTCAACTGTTCTTTCTGGTGGTAGACTGATGACAGTTTTCCCATACGAACCTGTGGACCCTGATCCGGGATCTCCCCCTTTCTGAACCAGGGCTCATTAATGAGGAGCAGCCCTGAGTAAGGTTTTCAGCCTCCACCTGTCTGAGCCCAAGAAGCGTTATTATTTCTTTATTTGTTTTCGCAGGAAAAAATGACACTGCAGTTCTGAAGCCTGCCCTAGCCTCGTTTCAAGCTCAGTCCTAGAAGAAACTCATGATGAAGAGAAGGGTCCTAAAGAACGCAACAGGGTCAGTGAGTTTCAAACTGCAGATCTTAACCTCGGCATCCCTTCCCACCCCGTCCACAGTGCAAGGGCAGTCACCTTCCTCCTGGAGTCATTTAGCTGCTCAGGCCTGAAGGTCTCTGCGGCGCCTGCCAAAGGCATTGGAGCCCACGTCGGTGGGCACGAAGTTGCTCTTCACCACACCCCCCGATCTGCTCAGCAAGCCTGCCAGCCGGTGGGTCC